CAGCAACTGCTTTTGCCATTCTGGTGCTTTTTAATTATAATAGGTATCCTGAGGTCTGTGGTTTGCACTGCCACTTCCAACTACCTTCTTTTAGGATCCTGAAAAGAAAGTTATTATTATTATGTGCCTGTGACTGCCACCCAGGTCTTCAAGGGGAGAATGTGAAAAGTCAGGTTCCTTTTAGAAGCTGTAGGCTGAGATGAGGCCACAAGTGCCACCTAGAGGTGACTAAAGCCTCATCACCTCGGAGTGTCCGTCTGCATTAGAAGGCGCTGAGTTCCGTGGAACGGTCTCATCTGCCATTGGACAAATCTGTGTGAATGTTCCATTGCCACATAATCATGGGCATGTCAGTTTTGTCCCCCAGAATCTCTTAAAGAACCTGCTCCTCCCTGCATGTGGTCTTTGTGGGATTATGGCTCATGGTGTCCACACATCTCTGGTCACCCCATCCAGGCAGACTCAAGCAGAGTGCTGGACCATCTGGACACAATGCTTGGTCCAAAGGTAGGCACGTGACCTAAGCAGGACCAATTTGAGTTCTTCCTTATGGTTTCATAAAAAGTCTGTCTTACTTTTGGAGCATAAACTGTTGAAATATAAGCTCATGGTCACTAGTGGTCATTTTTCTGCCATGTGAAAAAACCTACTCTAGAAGAAATACAAAGTTTAGAGAAAAGCTGAGAAGAGATAAGATATGATGAGAGAGGGCAAGTGTTTATGGCTTCAATTGCATCCGTTTATCCAGCCATGACTGTAGGATTTGCCCTTGGACTTCCCAGTTAATGAGCCCATAAGGTTTTTTTGCTCAAGCTGGATGGAATTGACTTTCTTTCAGGAACTGTAGATAATATATACACATGAGATGCAACATATCCAAACACAAAAGCCCCACTCCTCCACCAGCAAACCTGCCCTCCTCCAGCTTCTCAGCTGTGGATAAAGTGAAGGTTCCTGTGACCAGAATTCTCACCTGACCGTGGTTGGCTAGCTCACTACACACATGTGGGCAATATGTTGTTATTGACTCTATATAAAGAGCTCCGCCAAGTGCTCTGCATGAAAACGGTGGCAGGGCTGCAAGGCTGTGGGAGAGCTGAGATGAGACTGGAGTGGTGGCAGCACCGAGGACAGAGATTGAGACGGCTGCAGGGGCAGAGAAGCCCAGAAGCAGAGACCAGCTTGCTGCATGCAGACTTGCTCTGAGTGAATGGGATTTTAGTGACTGATATGTCACCATGGAAATAAAGTTGGGTATAACCCTTTCACCCCAAGAATGTTATGTCATTTCTTTGGTCACACTGAATCCATAGTGAACTTGCCCAGGGCTAAAACCTGTTGGCAAGACACCAGCCTTTTGCAACCTCATCCCTCATTCAGTTACAGTCATTGATTCATTGTCATGAACTTAGTTCAGGCTTGTATCACTTCTCACCTGGATTGCTGCCTCCAGGCTTGTCTACTCTGTGCCCACACAGACAGATAGACACACACCTGCCAAAATCTTTCTGAACCTGACCCTTCTTGCTCTCCTATCGGGTAACTTATGAGACTGCCTGACATTTGGCCCCCCCGACCTGTTGAACCTCACCTGGTACTGCCCTCCCCTCACTCCAGCCAGAGAACCACTTGGCACTCCCACTGTCATCTCTAAGCTAATGCAAATGCTACTTTCAGGGATTCTTTATCCTTTCTATGCCATGGACACCCTGCCAGTCTGTTGAAGCCTGTAGACACCATGTCAGAATAACATCATTTAAATCATCGCATAGAATACATAGGATTATAATGAAATTATAATTATGGTGATATATACTTACAAAAATATTAAAACCAGTTTAAATATGGTAATGTATGTGCTTCTTCATTAATGCATTAAATAGACAGATCTGGTGATGAGCCTAGTAACTTGTCATTTTCAAGCAGTAAAGAGTGTAAATGAAATTTCAAGTCATTTGCAACAACCCTCATTATTGGTGACAAAGTCCCAGGTAAGTGTTAATATTGTTGCAGTTTGTGTTGCCTGCATTCCTAATGAAAGGAGTTGGTGACTTTCAGGTAGAGGTTGGTGACAGTGGAGATGTAATTTTTTTCCATTCTAAGGAAAGGGGGAACCCCTCCCCGAGGATTCTTTCCATGGACTACCCCTGCAGTTGAGCACAGCTAGGTTCTACAAAATAATCTCCCCATCTTCAGTACTCAGGTTACTGCCACTCCATCCAGAAAGCCTTCCCTGGCCCTCACACACTGGTTTGGGGCCTGTGGGGAAAATGCAGGTGCCTATGGCCAGGATCATCACCTGACCCTAAATTACTTGACAATGTAATTGGCCTACTGCTAGGCTACTGCTCCCACACCCACAGGCAATAAGCTATTATTGACTGAGTCACTATATAAAGAGCTCCGACCAGTGCTCTGAGCAGAGGCAGAGATAGAGGTGGCTTATGCACCTGCAGACTGCTGGATGCAGACGCGATTCCAGTGTGTGACCTACTGCTGTGGGAATAAAGCCAGTCATAAACCCTTTTACCCTAAAAATGTTTTATTTTCATTTCTTGGTCTTGCTGAATCCATAGTGAACTTGCCAGAGGTTGAAACCCTCAGGCAAGACAGGGCTCCTCCTCTGTCCCCCCAAAGACTCCTGGGCATCCCTTAACTCACACCACAGGTCACATGCCATGTAATGTTTTCATCAGTCCCCTGGACTGGGGGCTCCTCCACTGAGACCTGTGGAAGTGCCAGCTGCCTTGTCTACACAGGTCCAGGTTATACCTGAGTATAGGGTAGAGGTGGACTATGGGTCCCTGTGAAGGGCCAGCAGAGGCTCACAGAGCCAGGAACCCTGAGATCCAGTCTGGGAGTGACATCTGACACTCCCCTTGAATGAATGGCTCAGGACTGACTCATTGCTCATTCTTTCATTGCAGGCAGGTGGTGCAGCCCTGAAGCGCTGGGGTTTTAGAGCTACAGAGATATGCATTTTTATCCTGTCCCTATCACTTTTTACCTGTTTGCCTTGGGCAACTTACTGCCCCTCTTAGAGCTTCAGCTTCCTCACCTGTAACATGGGCTGCTGCTAGTAACCACCTTGCAGGGCTCTGGGGAGGATTAAATAAGAATGCATGTGAAGCCCTCAGCCTCAATCAAAAGTAATGACTCAAGAGTTGGAAGCATCTGTATTAGCTGTTATTACCATCCTTTTACTCATTCAGCAAGCATTTATTAAGCACCTATTGTATGCCAGATGCTTTACATATATGAAAGTGTTTGATAACCCCAGAGACAGGTTCTATCATCCCCATTTAAAATAACCTCCTTCACTGGAGGAGGTGCTTGGTGTTCTCAGATTTAAGTCTCTAAGGTACCAAATTAACCCTAAGGATTTCATTCCCCTTCCCCAATATCTAGCCTTGTGCAGCAACGTGGTGCATGGCTAGGGCAAGGATTCTGGTGTAGGCTGTCTAGGTTTGAATCCCATCTCCTCTACACTGAATACTCTCTGGGCAAGTTACTTTACTGCTTTAAGCCTCCTTTTCTTCCCTCTCAAGTGGGATAGTAAAGTACCCACCTCACAGTTATCAGAGAATTAAAAAATTGAATTTGTGTAGAAGGTTTAAAGCAGAGCCTGGCACACAGTCTCGGAAAGATTAGCTGTTCACCATGGGAGCACCTGGCAAACTCCTCCACCTCCTCCAAGTTCCACCAAGGAGTACCCAACCCACGAGGCACCCCTTCTCTAGGAAATCCTGTCCCACCAAACGTCCCTTCCGCCAGTGCTGCAGAAATATTGCAGATAGATAGCATAAAGTGTTTAGGAGTGCAGATGTAGGGACTAATGCCAGGGACACCACCTGCCATCTGTCATGCCTCTGTAGAATGACTTTGTCTCCCTGCACCCCAACTTCCTTATCTGTAAATGGGGAACAATTGCAGCGCCACCCTCAAAAAAGTTCAGGGGTCAACAATGGAAAAACCACTGACTGAGGGTCTACTCTGGTCACTGCTAGATGTACAGAGTGAGCAAGGCCGATGAGGATGACAGGCTCGTGAAGTGTTGAGCACAATGCCTGGCGAATTATAAGCATTCAGCATGTTTCACGCCGTGTACTATAAATGAAATATTATATCATACTAAAAAATGTACACGTGGTAGGTTTTTACACAAATGCATATACATGTGTTCATTACATCTTTTGCTTTTTACTTTCACACTCATTTCCTCACTGATTGCTGCAAAATAGACCTGGAGGATACACAGGGCAGAGATTTTATGCCATTTTTACCGATGAAAAGACAGAGGTGCTGTGGGAGGTTAGGAGGTGGATAACTGGTGACTGGCAATGAGAGATGGCCGGGCAGGGGAGGGCAATGTTCCATCTCACGTCCCTCAGCGGAGAGCCAGCCCCAGCCCTGTGGACCTGGGGTGGGAGAGTGGGTTCGGCGGAGACCTCTAGGCCCAGGGTGCCCCAGCCGCCGGGCAGGCCGGTTGCGGGGTGGACACGCCTCGGGGCGCACGCTCTCAAGCGCGGAGCTTCCAACGGACAGAGGCGTGCACGGCCCCCGGGCGAGACGCTGGGTGGCGCTGCCGGGTCGCCCCGCGCCAGACCTGTTGAGCCCAGGGCGCGACTCCTGCAGGTTTAGGGTACGGGGGCGCTCAGCTCTGTCCACTTGGCCCGGGCCGCAGCACCCACCTCGGGGCGCCCTACGCCCCACCTTAACCTGAGGAACCCATTCAGTTGGCCTCTGCGTTCCTCACCCCATCAGTTCTGGGCGGCGTGGGGCGGGACGGGAATAAAGTTTTCCCACCTGGTCTGGGAGAGGGCTGATAGGGAGGGCCCTCCCAGCTCCAGACCGCGGCGGGCTCCAGGGGGCCCGGGGGCTCTGCTCTGGGTGGGTGCCAGCCCCGTGCTGACCGAGGGGCCGCCCCGCGCATCGCCCCCTCCCACCTGCCTCGGCCCCTATCCCCTCCCCCGCCTCCGGCGCGCTCGGGCCCCGGCGTCTTCGGCCCCGCCTGCGCCGGGGTCGCTGCAGTCCCCGCCCGTGGCTGACCCGGGCTCGCTCCCAGGCGCCCCGGCCCCATTCCAGGCTGGGGAGTGCCTCCGGGGGAGCGCGGGGCAACGAGGAAGGCCGAGGCGGGGGCCCTGGGCGCCCCAGCTCGCCCAGCCTGGGAGGCGGCCCCACTCCCGGAGCCGGCACGCAGGGACGGGCAAGGACGGGGCGGCGGGCGCCGCTCATCAGCCACGCCAGTCACGTCTGGGGCCACCCGGCTGCCTTTCTTCCTCCCCCCCCCTGTTGGCGAGGGCAAAGTGGCCGTGGCGGCGCCATGCCCGGGCGGGAGTGAGTACGCGCGGGCGAAAATGGCGTACATCCAGGTAGGGCTGGGGCTGGGGGGGCAAGGTCCGCGTGTGGGGGGTGGGAGGCCGTGCCCTGGGCGCCCCAGCTCGCCCAGCCTGGGAGGCGGCCCCACTCCCGGAGCCGGCACGCAGGGACGGGCAAGGACGGGGCGGCGGGCGCCGCTCATCAGCCACGCCAGTCACGTCTGGGGCCACCCGGCTGCCTTTCTTCCTCCCCCCCCCCTGTTGGCGAGGGCAAAGTGGCCGTGGCGGCGCCATGCCCGGGCGGGAGTGAGTACGCGCGGGCGAAAATGGCGTACATCCAGGTAGGGCTGGGGCTGGGGGGGCAAGGTCCGCGTGTGGGGGTTGGGAGGCCGCGTCCCCCCCCCCACGCTGCCAGCGCGCGAAAGGGAGGGCAAGCGGCTGGGCTCCCACGAACTTGCCTAGACAACCAGGGTGCCCGAGCGCAGACCACCTGTGTAGCTGTGCGGGTGCGCCCCAGGAGAAGAGGCTGGGGACCCCAACACCCTGGGATGAAGGACCCAGGTGGACTCCGCACGCGCGCCCTCGCCTCCTGGGGGAAGAGGAAAGGGGGGGGCGGACTTTTCTGCACCCCCGCCCCTCACCCCCTCACCCTCCCTCTCGTGCCCCACCTCAGGGGAGGGGCCGCGGGGAAGGCCGCCCGGGACCGGCCAGCTGCCGTTGCTGTGGTGACGGCTCCGGCTAATTGGCCGGCCGGGTGAGCCTGAGGCAGCTGTTCTGGCCAGGAGGGACAAGGACGTCTTCTCCCCGGGCACTGGCTGGTGAGGGGTCGGGGACACACCAGAGGCGTGCTGCTGGTGGGGCCGTGGGGGAGCCACCGATTACTTTAGGCCATAGCATTGAGGTCTGGAAGTTGTGGACCCTACCCTCCACCGTGGGGAAACTCCCAGAAGAATCCTAAAACTGAAATAATTTGCAAGCATTTTTTTGGGAGGGTAGAGGTGGGGGGAGGGGATCCTGCTTGATTAAGTAAGAGACCTTTCCCTCCAATACGAGGAGGGAAGTGGCGACAGGTCGGCGCCAAGGTCATGCAATCAGATCCGCTGAGCTGCTTGCTTCTGGGGATTGGCTCCTAAGAGCCCAGCAGAGGAGGCTTCCACATTCTGGGTGCATCCAGGCTCACTTCTCCTTCCTCCCTTAGCTACAGCTAGGAGGCTGCTAGTCCTCTAGGTCCCCTCTGGCTCACACATCCCCTCATCTTGTCCTCAGACTTACCATCCTGCCAGGAACTCTTTCCTTTGTCACCTGGTGTAGACCCCCCATCCCTCTTGTGGCTTAGATCCCATTGGCTTCCCTTACATAGAATCCATAGGTCCTTTTTCAAGTTCATTCAATGAAGGTCACATTTACTGTACACCTACTGTGTGCTGGATGTGGGGGGGCTGCTATTCAATAGTCACTCAACAAACACTTGAGTGGTCACCTACTTTGTGTGGGCACTGTGGACACAGCACAGTTTCTTCCCCTCAGAATGCACAATCTAGTGAGAAACAACATTAGAACACACCCTGTGGTTTTTAATGAACACCTTCAGCACAGAGAAATTAAGTGACTTGCGCAGGGCCACACAGCTGCTTAGGAGTCATGGGATCTAAATGGGGGGATGGCAGGGATAGGTGGGGCATTTGTTAAATCTAGTATGAGGATGGCCTAGTTATGCTGACTTTTTTTCTAGAACAATGTGTTAAACTTTCTCTGTAGAAGGCCAGATTGTAAATATTTTTTTCTTGGAGGACTACTTGATGTGTGTCACAACTATTCAATTTGGACTGTGGCACTGACCAGCCATAGACAGTAGTCCATGCACGGGTGTGGCTGTGTTCCAATAAAACTTTATTTGTGGACACTGATATTTGAATTTCATGTACTTTGTATGAGTCAAGAAGTGCTCATCTTTGGATTTTTTTCAACCATTCTTAGCTGGGGGGCTGTAAAGGAACAGGGGGGAGGCTGGGTTTGGTTTGCTTGAATCAGAGCTTGAGACCCCTGTTCTAGAATGTCTGCATTCTCCTCCTGTTTCTTTCTGGCTGGAGACAGTTCTTCATTAGGTCAAGCACCTGAACACAGTGGACCCAATGTGAGGAAAAATGCAGCCTGCCTAGGAGCCTCAGAACATCCTTTCTCTTTTCATTTTCCTTGGTTTCTCTTTGCATGTTGTACCTGGGATTTGAGAAATCTGGGTGATTGTTTCTTAGCAGGGACCCTGTGGTGGCCTTGTCCCTGCTGGTCATGGTTTTATAAATGGTTCTCTTGATCACCACTTACCCAGGAGTGTTGTGAGAAAGCATCCCTGGCACTTCGTTGTAAGCATTTTAAAGCATTTTCCCGCATTAAGTCTCGTGGAGGCATAGCATTTTGCTGCTCTGTTCACCGCCGTATTGGCGAGGACAGTTCTTGGCGCTTGGTGGGTTCCGGTTGGTCTTGACAAACCACCTTGTTGTAAGCCACAGAAAGGGTGCAGATATTTTACAGGGGGGCAGCACAGAAGCATTTCCACAGTCAGTACTCTAGCTTAGATCTTCACTAAATAGAAGAAGCAGCGGAGGCTCCAGGTGGCGCCCTGTCTTACCCAAGTCACATGATGGCTGGCGGGGAGGCCAGGACTTGCTGCACTGTCTCCACTCAGCTGTTTGCGTGGCCCTCAGCGCCTTCAGGTCTTGCTCTGTGTATGGCTCGAGTTTTGCTTCTGGAAGAGTTGTGATTAGTACCTGAGACTGTTTCCCAAGCTACAATCATTCCCTTACCACTTACAGGATTTAGAATTTTTCATGAGCTGTGTACCATCTGACTATTATTATTAATATGTTTTTTCTATAAGTGGACTTTTTAATTTTTACTTAGAAAAAAATCATATGAAAAGGAAACTTTATGTCACTGCCATAAGTGAAAACCAGGATCACTTGATATAAACAGAAGGCAGCCGGAAAAATAAACCATGAGAATAAAGTCACATTACTAGATTCCCGCTGGTTAAGGGTCGTCTCTAAGGCTCTCAGCTGGGGTCTGCTTTGTGTTTAAAAAGGAGGGTGGGGGAGATTTGCAAGTGTTCGAAAGATGTTAACATGCAGTGGTACCAAGTTGAGACCTTCTTGAGAGAGAGTTGAAAACAGGCAGTAACTTTCTACCGCCTTAGTCAAAGTTCTGAGTTTGAGTTTGTCTCGGGTTGTGTCCCAGGCTGAGGTGCAGGGCTCCTCCTGCCTACCTGGTTTACTTGGCCCTTTTGGAAGAGGGGGAGGGTGTCTGCGCCTCGGGAACCTGTGAGAAGATGGGGTGGGGCCAAAAAAGGGAGGCAGCCCCTCCTCCCGCCCCCTCTCCAGGACCAGATTATGGCTTCCCTTTCGGCTCCCTCTATTTGTGGGTGGTCATATGAGGGAAGCTCCCCACCATCACCATTGGAGCAGAATTGGAAGGTAGGGCCTCCGGCGGGCGGGGGAGCCAAGTCACATCCATTCTGTGCCTGCCGGCATGTTAGCTAATCATGTCCTTTTGGGTTGGCTTCATGGCTATTTCTGTATAGGAAGGTTTGCTCTTCTCCTGAAGTGTGGCTGCATTGGATAGCATGACTATCTATCCACCCGCTCTGATTCATAACAGCATACGGTGCAAATCAAATCGAAATGCTAAAGTTTCCCATTTATTCGGTGTTGGTTAGCCAGGAGGCTACCAGCAGCCCTGAAGATAGCAACACCTTGTTAGGAAGTCAGCTCCCTTCCCAGGATGGTAAGTGGAAAGATGCAGGGCTTTTTCTTGTTTTTCTTTTTTCTTTTTTGAGTTGCTGGAATATTGCTAAACTGGTCTTGTCTCTCTCTTTTTGTAACTGTCTCCCCCTCTGTGCCCCTTGGCTTCATCCTGGATCTCTAAAAGGGCAGTTGGAACCTTTAAACGAGGTGGGTTAATGCAATGATTTCTTCGGTCTGGTTTCTGATCAAGAGATGCTCGCCTTTCATTTTGGAGTCACATGTGGGGATGTGGGGATATTGAATATTAATAATCGGATGTTAACAGCACAGCTTTGATGTGAGAAGGGAGGGAGATCCCCGTGAAAAGACACTAGTTGACCAGATAGGATTCCTTCCCCACCCCCTAGTTGTTTGATTGTATCTCTGTTTACTTTCATGTCACTGAGATTTTTAAAAAATGTTTTTGCTTTGCTTTCGAGAAGACAGAGTAATATTCTTTGTGTTTCGAGAACATATTGTATAGCCTCATGATGTTGTGTAAACCACCCACATGTCAAGAAAGGCGTCCACATAAACTACAAAAGAAAATACCTGCGAATGTTTTGCTCACTATTAATGGCTCCAGCAAGTTGGTGTTTGCCATATTTGTGCCTGCAGTTGGTAAATAGAAATGGAAAACATTTTGTTCTGAGTGTTCAGCAGTGGGGACAGACCTCCTGAATGTCGCTATTTCTCATCAGGGCTCAGCTGCTTGTAATTTCGCGTGTTTTTCCTTTTCTTCCTCTCCACCCTTTCCATCTTCCCTTTCCCCCTCTCCACTGCCCACCTCCCCCAATGGCCTCAGGGTTTTCTTTCTAGAATCTCCGATCTGCTGCTGTGCAGATGGACTTGCAGGCACTGCTGTCAGAAGTGCTATGAGTCCAGCTGTTGCCAGTCAAGTGAGGATGAAGTTGAAATTCTGGGACCTTTCCCTGCCCAGACTCCTCCCTGGCTGTAAGTAAAACTGCTCTGAACTTCCTGGAAAGCAAGCCCAAGACCTCTCTTTTTCTCAGTTCCTGAGAGGGCGTCTGGGCAGGATTTGGGGTATGAAAGAGGGAAAGGCTATTTCCATTGACCTCTTTGCTGCTGATGGGGACATGCTGTGTGCCTCTCATTTTGTCTGGCAAACTGGTGAGACCGGCTGGTGGTGGGGCTTTAATTCAGCAAGTTTCTCTTTGGGCATTCTGAGATATGGACTGTGTAATGCTAAGCAAGTGGGCACTTTTAATCACATTGAATGTTGTCGTAAGTGGAAAAAGAGATATGTGAGCACATTTATAGTCTGCAAGGGATGTAAAAATTCTAGAGGTTTTTCTCCAAGTCAGCATAACAAATGGTCCTAGCACTGACCCAGTGCTTGGCACATAGTTGATGCTCAATAAAAATTTTTTGCATGGATAGGTGAATTGATCAAACGGGTGCCTTTTTGCTGGTCTGAACAAGGACTTCAGAAACAGGGAAACAGAAAAGCACCATCCAGGCTCCATCCTGTCCTCCAACGCTGTTTATGTTCTCTGGCATCTTTCATTTTATTTCCAATTCGTTCTCCTCCCGCGCCTGCATACAACATCTCCATCTGCCAGTCGCTTAGATATTTTGGGAACACAGTTTTGAAGCTTCTCAGCCACGTGTCTGGTCCACCTCTCTGTGGCTGAAAGAGGAATTTGCCCAGAGAGTCTGGGTTGATCTAGAGGACCAGAGCTGTGAAGGGCCCGAGCATCACTGAGTGCAACTTCTCATGATCCAGAGCGGGAGGCCCAGGGAGGGAGGGAGAGATTGCAGGGTCCACTGCGGGAGCCTCAGTGGGGACCCAGGGCTGCCCCTGCTAAATCTTTGAGCTGAGTTCTAGAAGTCTCTGGTGTCTCCTCTTTCCCTCCAACTTTTGGGTCTTGCCTCAGTCCCCTCATTTTATCTTCTGAGATGCAAGTATCAAATATTTCCACGGCAAAATGGCTCAGTGTCAGGCTCTGTGAATTCAAATTCTGTTTCTCTGACCTTTTTTCTGGTTCTGTGACTTTGGGAAAGTTGCTTAATCTCCCTGTGCCTTAATTTTCTACCCATAAAAGGGGGATGATAAAAATAACAGTATTTATCTTCTAAGGGTTGTTATGGTGATTGCATGAGTTAGTATGTGGGAAAGTACTTAAGAATGCTTGACATTTTTTTGGCAAATCATAAATGTACGTGACTCTTCCTACTCTGTTTTGTTATCAGTTTCCTCATCTGTAAAGTGGGAAGAGTAATAGAATTTACTTTACGGGGTTGTTATCAGGATTAATGAGATAGGCACTTAATGTGCTTACATAGTAGTAAGTATTCATTTCTATCATTATTAGGTATTGATAATTCTTTAAACTGATGTGAAGGATTCTTCCTTTAGTCATAGGTTGTGGCTTGAATCCTGCAGCAGTGTGTAGGTTGAGATATTTGGTGAAACCTGTTCATTAATCCAGAGATCATTCCCATTTTCCAGTGCCCCATGTGGTGGAGGTTGGCTCAGCCCACCTGGTGTCTTTAAAGATGTGCTCAGAAGAATGCCAGCTCTATGAGAGCAGGGTTTTTGTCTTCAAAAACTAGTTATTGACCAGCTGACTCACCTCTATGCAGAAATTGAATCCTGAAAGTGCTGGTCATTAGCTGAAAAGCTAATCTTGGTTTCTTTGGTAGTTATTTTTCAAGGATCCCCTGTATGCCAGGCACTGTGAAATGCCCAAGGCTAGATAGAGATCCATTATTGTATCAGGGGATTTTAAATCTAGTATAGAAGATAAGGCAGGTACGTAAGTCCACTTGCTCCCTATAATTGTGCATTCACACCCTGCACATCCATCTGACAGTCCTGTGGGAAAAAAAAATCCAGGGGAAGTACCTTCGGGTATAGCTGGATCCAGGGGCTCAAATGATGTCATGGGGATACTTCTTTCCCTCTTTTTCTCACTCTCACTCCCTCTCTCTTTCTGTTTCTTCAGTAATGGCCTCATTCTTAAGCTTGTGTTCTTCTTTGCCTCATTCTTAACAGCAGCAAAAACAATCAGGAAAGATTCTCACTGCTCTGGTTTGGGTTCTCTGCCAGTGAGCCAATCACTTTTACCTGGAGGAAATGGTGCTAGGATTGTGCCTGGATTGCCTGACCATCCTGAAATCAAGGGAAGGGTCATTCCCACCTGAAATGCATGGACTAAGCTGTTAGATCAGGGATTGGCAAACTTCTCATGTAAAAGACCAGATAGTAAATGTTTTAGTCTCATGGGCTTAGTTTCTGTTGCAGCTGTTCACTTCTGTCGTTGTAGTGTGAAAGCAGCCATACACAGTACATTAATGGTTGTGGCTGTGTTCTAGTAAAGTTATGCAGCAGATTTGGCCCTGTAATTTGCTGGACCTTTGTAATAGACAGTTTGGGTGCTGTGACCAGAAAGAAGGGAATGGACTCAAGACAGGCAAACATCACAAATGGGCATAACATCTAGGCAGAGTTGGGGAAATCACACAAAAGGAACCTGTATGCTCTGGTTGTGTAGGATCTTGAATGCCAGATTAAGGAATTTGGATTTTCTTCTGAACCAGAAGAGACCCCTGACAGACATTGTAAATCACAGTCAGGCCCCTGTTGGCTCCTAGTTACCCAGATATTGAGTGTTACAGATGTATGGCCTAGGTTCTAGCACTGAGTGGGAAGACAGTTGTGCATTACCGTGGCTGCTGACACCTTGTGCCAGTGGAGAGCTCTTTTTGGAAGCAAGGGGTTGGGACTCTCCAGGAAGACACATATTTTGGTTTTGCCACAAGCAGGTAAGTGTGCTGGAACCTTCCCAGCAGAGCCAACACACAACTCTAGAAGGTGCCATTCACAGAGTGGTCTTTATGACTGATACCACCTAGAGCTGTGCAGTCTAGAGCCTGAACAGCCCATATATGACCTCATGTTTCCCAGGATGAAACAGGTTTTCTTTGAATCCTGGGCAGCAGCTTAGCGCATTTTTGGCACACAGTATAATGCAAAATGTTAAGAGAAATCTGTAAAGGGGAGGTGGGTTAAGTCATTCAAAAAGCAAATTTACAGCTTGTGCTTTCCCCAGATTTATTTACCAAGCAGACAGCTGCATGTTATCAAACAGGCAACGAGTAGGAATGTCAAGTGCACAGGCTTTGCGCACTGTTCCTACTGTGACATTTGAGTCAAGAACCACAGGACATGCTTCTCTGCAGGGTGGCATATGGCAGACAAACTGTCCCTCTGTGTGTGGTTTTAGGGGATACAACCTTGTCACACGCTTCTGTCATTTAGGTGCCCTAGTTTGCCTCAGCTGGGCTGGGCTGGTAAAGGTCAGGAGAACTACAATCCGACTGGCTCCTCTTGGGGCAATACCAGAAAGACCCCCATTGAAGAATGAATTAAAGTCAGGTCATTTCTTTTTCCAACAAGCATGTGTTGAGTATCTACTATGTGCAAGGTTCTCACAGGCCTTGCAGACGATGCCCAGCTCAATAGTGTGGAGCATGAGATCTGGGGTCTGGTATTGCTGGCTGCTGGGTTATACCATTTAACGGTGCAAATTCATTATCCTTCCCATCTGTAAAGGGGGCAAGAGTTGTTAATAACTAGGAACTCCTAGATTGTTTTACAGATGAAATGTGATGGTTCGTTCAGAGCATTTAGCACAGTGCTTGGCACTTACTAGGTGCCCAGTACCTGGTACCTTTGATCATGATAACCAGAGATCCTACCCCTAAGAAGTGTACCCTGCAATGGGAAGGGTGATGAGATGTGCACTCAGATCACTGTGACTTAAGATAAATAGTATAAGAACCATGAGAAGGGTATATTCATTCATTCACTGAGAAAATAAGTGTGGAACACCCCGAACATGCCAGATTTGGTGCTACGGTAAGATCCACAGTGGTGAATAAGACACATGCTGCCCCTGTCTGCATTCAGCAAGAGCTTAGAGTCAGACACGCAAGATACGCAATCAGGCCACAGCTAAAGGTGAGTTACATGCATTGTGGAAGAGAGGAAAAAAAGTGCAGGGATAAAGGCTGGTGAGGGTAGGGGGTTAGGAGGAGGTGACAGGGACAGGATGGGGCCTCTCTGAGGAGGTGCTGTTGGTGCTGAGCCCTGAATGATGAGAAGGAACCAGACAGGTGATGGGGGTGGGAAGAGCATTCCAGGTAGAGGGACCAGCATGGCTCAGTGTGTTGGAGAAGGGCAGGAGGCTTGGAGGTTGCAGAGGATGCCTAGGCCCTTGCATGCGCTGGTACTGTGCCTAAGACACAGCTGCAGGGGGCTATGGCGGTTAAACTGATCCTGAAGACCATCTGGGACTTCCTGGGTAGAGGTGGCTGGGGTAGTATGGTGTGGCAGCTAGGGAAACAGGCCATGCACACGGAGCTGTAACATTTTGGTCCTGTCTTCTTTGGGAAATGCTGCAACTTTCATTGAAGGGAGAGAGAGAGAATGATTGATTGATACAATATGATCCCATTTCTGTGCTCTCCCCTACTCCCTTCCACCCCCCACATTTCATCGGCTACATTCACCTTTTACAGACAGGAGCAGAGGGTAAGGAGTGGGCATTGCCTGGTCTTGTCCTGGCTGTGACCCTTACTTATATTGCTTTGGAAGAACATCAAATCAGTCTCATTTCAAGCACAGGATGCATCTAAAGACCTCATAGAATTTGAAACTTGCATCTGTCAAGACTTGTTTTCCTGCAGACTTAAATGTCAAGTTGGGGGGGATGCACTCTCAGAAGGTATCTAGCTATAGCCATGATGGCTCAGGGGCTTGTTATTAGCAGCATCAATCTCATGGCCACATCACCACCTTTTTGCTCTCCTTTTCTTTCCCCCAGCACCCTTACCTAGCTTTGTGAGTATTGGTCATTGTAAAGCCACCCCTTTTGTAATACCAGCTAAACTGTATTGAGCACATACCTATTACATACCAACACTGTTATAAGCATTTTGTATGCACAGCAACCATACAAGGTGGGCACTATTATTATTCCCATTTTACAGATGGGAAGATAGAAGCATAGAGAGGACTTGCCTAAGGTCACCAGCCAGGGTTCAAACTGAGCTATGCTCTTCATTACTTCCCTGTATCTCCCCAACTCCCTCCAGCCCAAGTACTTTACAATTTTTTCAGCATTTCTCATCCTCATTGAGAGCACATTGAATCGTGATTGCTGCTAATTCATAGCTGTTTTTTCACATCCAACTATTCTTAAATCATTGATTCTCAGGGCCATTTTTTAGCTGTAACCCTGACGCTCAAAGAACCCTTGAGTGACATTGTTATAGGATATTTTTAAAAGATGTTGAATTATAGACACAGTGACTATTGAAATAGCAGGGCATTTCTCACCAAAAGTCACTTGAAGAAGTTGGGATGCAAATAAACTCTTAGATTTGACAGGTCTGATCTTGACTGAGACAAAGTGGCGCCACCATGTGGCAATATCCCGAGTGCATTTCCATATTCCACCCTGCCCGCGCCAGCTTTGAAATGATGCAAATTCTCGACAGATTGTTCTAAATTGGGAAATACCATTCATATCCCTTCACGTTTGTACAAGAAGCAACACGTTATTGAGAGTTAAGGGTTATTTCAACTTTGTGTTATTTCAAGTGGCATAAACCGGGTCTGAGAGCTGCTTCATTATGAGTTCATCCTCTGAAGAACAGAGATGCCAGTCCCTGGGGATGCTTTGACAACCACTGAGACCTCTTTGCTCCTATAGGATGGCCAGCCGGAGCAGTGACAAGGACAGGGACTCTGTCCACACAGCCAGTGACGTCCCGCTGACCCCACGGACCGACTCCCCAGATCGGAGGTGCTCATCCTCAGACACATCTAAGTCTACGTACAGCCTGACCCGGAGGATTTCAAGTAAGCATTTCTGCCATGACTGTCTGGGGGTCCTGGTTTGAGCAATCCTGAGCTGGTCAGCTTCTGTTCAGAGTTCACGAATTAAAATCCCATTAGCTGGGTCCCGAGGACGAAGGCAGAGAGCTGACTTTCCCAACCACTCAGCAGCATCCCCACGGAAATATATGTGAAGGACGGGTGTCTCTGGGGAGGGGGCAGAGTGGGATGATGGTCCAGAAGACAAGATGACAGGAATAATGACAATGTGACAGGAGTGCATTGCACTTGATCTGCTGTTTAGTGAGAAGCAGTCATTTTGATTGATTTTTGTTTTTATTCATCCTAAGTTTCATTGACGTGGCTCAGTTGACTGACATTGTCAGCAGGTGACATTTCAGACCCTGAAAGGCAAGTGTTACCATGTTATACAACAGGGCTTGCAAATTCAAGGGACTTAAGAGGCCAGGCGGATTGTGTCAGTGACTGAGTACAGAGGGATTGGATAGAGGTAAATATCACCCTAATGCAGTGACAAATCGCAGCTGACTCACAGCCTTGAGAGCCACTTAAGGGCAGGGTGGGGACTGGGGTAATTGGGAAGCTAATGCCCCTTTGAAAGAGCAGCTGATACTCAGCTCTAGCTATGTGGACTGTGGGTCTTCATATTGCCTGACATTTCTGAAGAAAAACTAGCAATCTGGGTTTTTATATGAAACTTCCTCACTTTTAAACTTAAAAAACACATATCTATGGGTCAAATTGGGCCCACAGGCCACCCAGTTTGTCTGCTGTGATGTATAGGGTAAGTGTTTGACCAAATGGCATGATTTGGGTGAGGAGGAGAAAGGAAGATAAAGAGCAAAGATTCCCAATCTCTTTTCTCTCCCCAAAAGTGTCTCTGCTAGTTCCTTCAGCCGATGTCTGAAATTCTCTAGGCAGTGGGGTAAAACTTAAAATTCATGAAATCAGTTCACTCAGATGGAAATGATGGGTGTCTAATCTTTCCAGGGAGTAAATGGGGGAGAAAAAGCAAGTAGAGGAAAGTTTAAGGACATGAAATAGTGAAGCAGGGTATGTTGGACTCCTCTAGGCCTGTCATCCCATCTCTAAAATGAGAGGGCTGGTCACGATCTGTGCTAATACAGGCCACCAGCTGCATGTGGCCGGTGAGCATTTAAGTAGGACTAGGCCAAATCGAGATGTGCTGTGCATGTGAATTTTGAAGCCAATATGAAAAAATGAGAATTTAAAGTGTCTCACTAAAATATTTCTATATTGATTACATGTCAAAATTATAACTTTTGCATATATTGGGTTAGATAAATATTAAAATTAATTTCACCTGTTTCTTGGCACTTTTAAAAAATTGGGGCACAACTAGAAAACTTTAAGTTACCTGTGTGGCTTGTATTTCTGGCTCCCATTGTATTTCTCTTAGATAGCGCCGGTCTACATGGTGCCTAAGTCCTGTGCCCAGCTCTATACACAGATGATTTCCATTTAGCACACAGTTATCAGAATATCAACGGTGCTCTAGGAAAAAGTCTTGTAGTTTTTGCCAGCAAGACTGGTGTTTGGGCAATTAACAAGAATGTCTTGAAAGAATAAATATTATATGCCTCCACTTTTATGAAGAATCTAGTAGTTAAGCTCAAGGGAGAAGAATGTGATTACCAGGGACTGGGGGAGGGGCACTGGAGAGATTTATGCAAGATGAGTAAGTTCTAGAGATGTTTGGAGGTGATGGATATGTTTATGGCATAGATGTGGTGATGGTTTCTTGAGTGCATACTTATCTCCAAACTCATCGGGTTGTATACATTAAATATGCCCAGCTTTTTGTATATTAATCATGCAAAAAGAGAGTGCCCTGAGTTCACTGCTAGAATTGAAGGATGGGCAAAATTAGAATGATGGACTTGGAACCAGTGATCTCTGCTGGGTGATGGGGATGGGGGAGGCACCTCATAAACAAGTCTGAATATGATCCTTGAGGAAGTGCACGAGTTACCATCTAATGAATTCTTACCATGCACATGTTCCATGCTGAGCCCTTTCCACTCACTGGCTCAGTGAGTCTTTGCCGCAATCTTTGAGGTAGGTGTTGCTATTGACTCTATTTTACAGATGGAGAAACTGAGTCTCAGGGAGCCCAAAGGATGTGCCCAGAGTCACATGGCTCATTACTGGTGGGTCACAGAACTCACTCGCAAGTGGCTGAGTTGAAATTTGACCCAGGACTTTGGCTTCAAAGTCCCCTCTAAAAGCAGGTAGTGTAGGGTAATGGTCAGAATCGAGCATCTGGGGCCAGACAGACCGGGCTTGGGCTTGACTCCTCGCTTTCCTCGCTCTTCCTATTAGTAGTATGTGACCTTCAGTGAGTTACTTAAAGTTTCTGTATCCTCATCTGTAAAATGGGGATAGTAACCATTATCTGATACCTTGTGAAGATTATACATGCAATGCATTTAAAACAGCATCTGGTGCTTAGTTGCTGTGATGATGGTGATGGATCTCATGCTGCTGCCATGCTGCCTCTCACAGAATAAATAAGAGGATTTCCAGGTGTGCAGAGCAGATGGCAAAGAGCATTGTGAAGCAGGTGGACAGAGTGAGAGAGAACCTGGGAAATGCTGATCTCATGAAGTGGCCCAGGTCTGGCCCCATACCAGGTGGTGGTAATTGTTATTTCTGGCGGCTGTTTAGGTCTTGAGTCCAGACGACCCAGCTCCCCACTCATCGATATTAAACCCATCGAGTTTGGCATTCTCAGTGCCAAAAAGGAGCCTATCCAGCCCTCGGTGCTCAGACGGACCTATACCCCGGACGACTATTTCAGAAAGTTCGAGCCCCGGCTGTACTCCCTTGACTCCAACAGCGACGATGTAGACTTTCTGACAGACGAGGAGATCTTGTCCAAGTACCAGCTGGGCATGCTGCATTTCAGCACCCAGTACGACCTGCTGCACAATCACCTGACGGTGAGGGTGATCGAGGCTAGGGACCTGCCACCCCCCATCTCCCACGACGGCTCACGCCAGGACATGGCGCACTCAAATCCCTATGTCAAGATCTGCCTCCTGCCGGACCAGAAAAACTCTAAGCAGACGGGGGTCAAACGCAAGACCCAGAGGCCCGTGTTTGAGGAGCGCTACACCTTCGAGATCCCCTTCCTAGAAGCGCAGAGGAGGACCCTGCTCCTCACCGTGGTGGATTTTGATAAGTTCTCCCGGCACTGTGTCATTGGGAAGGTTTCCGTGCCTTTGTGCGAGGTTGACCTGGTGAAAGGCGGGCACTGGTGGAAGGCACTGATTCCCAGTTCTCAGGTAAGGGGTGGGTTTGTGATGTCACCATCTGGGAGCTCGAGAAAAGAATGAAAGAAAGAAAAAAGGTGATTTTTGTTTTATTATTTAAACTTTTCTTTTTGCATTAAAAAAAATTTTATTCTGAAATAATTTTTGACGTACAAGAAGTTGCAAACACAGTACAGAGAATTCCTGTGTACTCTTAACCCAACAGCCTCAATGGTAAATCTCATACAACCAGAGTACATTAGCAATCCCAGGAAATTGATGTTGGCAGCTAAACCATGACCCGATTTCAGTTTTCACAGGCACCGCTGTGTGTGTGTGGAGTTCTATGAGATTTTATCACATGTATAGATTTGTGTAACCACCACCACCCGGGGAGCTCTTTTGTCATTGATGCTGAGTTATTTAATAAGGAGAATGATTGCCTGGGATATGAAGGTATCAGTCATTTTGACTTTCAGAAATTGATTTGGGAAAAATAAAATGAGGGCTGAGGAACAGGATGATATATGCATGTTTTTCAGGCAAATTGTGAGATTGGCTTCCTTCCCCCTACCAGCCCACAGACATGCAATTGGCTGCTCTAGAAGCCACCCACAGACCAGGCTCTGTCCCCAGTGGGCTATTAGAGTCCTTTCCTTGGGCATTCTGTGGACTGGAGAATGACAGTGCACCCTCAGTGGGTGCAAGGACGAGGTGGGAGCGCAGGGGAAGGCAAACACCCAGCCAGTGGGAGGCTGGCCCAGCCTGTCCACACTGGGTGTGACTGTCTGTGTGATGCAGGCGGGATTATTTTGCATCTAGCACATCAAGGTGCTTCCCAAAACTGAGCTCTACTGGTCAGGATTTGGTGATCCCACATCACATTTGGGGTGCAGGTTTTAAATATGAGGATTAAAGAGGCTGCTCCACTGTCAGTGTGTATGTGTGCGTATACACACGTCTTCAATAATAGGAGATGTATCTCTCTTAGTTTGGATTCCCCAAGAAGACCCTGAGCGGAAAGAAGTCCTTTATTAGGGAGGTGACACCAGAGGAAGCACCAGGAGGGAATTGGAAAGTCACTTAAAGGATGCCTTATCGGGTGGCTGCCACCATGGGTGATGGGAGATGATACCTGCTCAGGAAACTGGGATCCAGTGTTAGATGTACACCTGAGTCGTTCCACCTGAGGGGTGAGGGAGCTGGGGTGTTTATACACCAATTCCTACCAGCCATGGAGTGAGGGCTTTGGGGGATGGGGAGGTTCCTTCCCTGGCATTTCCAGCCTTTTACCCTGGCAGATGAAGAGACCTTTGATATCCACAGATGCAAACACAGTACAGGAGCAGGCAGCTGGATGCAAGCTCATGTGTGCTGAAATGGTCAGGGCCAGGAGATGGTGGGCAGGGGTTGGCAGTATCTCCTAAAATCCAATCCTCCTTCCTGTCATATGATCAGGAGATAATGGGTGCCTTCCATGCATCCTCCTTAGTATTTGCTATCACTTGGCTCTCAGTCATCCGGAAATTGACAGTTGACGGACAGAGACCCATGTGACACACTGTATTGCTACTCTGTTCTTCACATCAGGGAAGACCTGAACATACAAAGAATCTGCATGTCTACATACCTGGCTCCTTTAGGTCTGGGCTGAAATGTCACCTTTTCAGCAAAGCCTTCCTGGCACATCTGCCCTCGTTTGGTTCTCCTGAAAACTGAGGTCAAGGCAGGAACCTAGGTGCAGATGGTTTATTCAGAGGCAATCCCAGGGAGCAGGGGTGAGGGGGTGGACACAGGGAAGGAGGGAACATCAGCAGTCAGTGGTGGTGCTTAAGGTCGCCATCCTGGCCACGGGGTGCAGTGGACTGCACCCTTGCACACTGGCCAGGTGGGTCCCCACAGCCTTACAGAAGGGCTGGGATCAAAAAGAGAGGCCAGGTGTGCTGCCTGAGCTGAGACCACACCCAGATGAGAGTGGGAGCCTCTGTTGCTGCCAATGGAGGCCGCATCGCTGCATCACCCTATTTACGTGGCAGCCTCTACCCGGGTACTCCACGGCCCCTCCCCTGCTTTACTTCCTCCGTGGCACTTTCTGTCATCCATAGACCATACAGCCCGTGGTCTGCCTCCCCTGCTAGTATGCGAACCCCTTGAGGACAGGTTTTTGTCTGTTTTGTTCACATCTCTATCCCATGCTACTAGCACAGTGCCTGGCATGCAGCACTCAGTAATAATTTGTTGAATGAATGAAGAATGGAAAGAAGGAAGGCCTTCCCAAAGGGAACTTCTTGCTTTTCTTTGTTCTCTCTCCCTCACCCACCTCCTTCCTTCTCACTCAAAGAAAGGCTCATGAAAACTGAGGGAAGAACAGGCTCCTCTCTCCCATCTCAGGCTTGCTCTGGAGTTGATGCTCTCTGAGAGGAAAGGCCAGTTGTTTGGGGTCGGGTTCACTAGAAGCAGAGCTTGAGACAGGGATTTGGGTTGTATTAGTTGCCTGACAAAGCACCACAAATCGGGTTGCTTAAACTACAGAAATTTATTGTGTCACAGTCGGAGGGTTAGAAGTCCAAGATCCAGGTGTTGGCTGGGCCATGCTCCCTCTGAAAAGCCTACAGCGGAGTCCTTCCTTATCCCTTTCTGCCCTCTGGTGTTTGCTGGCAATGCTTGGTGTCCCTCAGTGCATCACTCTGATCTCTGCCTCAGTCACTGCATGGCCTCCTCTGTGTGTGTGTCTGTTGTCTTTTCTTCTAAGGACACCAGAAAATTGGTTAGGGGCCCCCCTACTCCACTGTGACCTCGTTTTTAAATCAATCTGCAACAACCCTATTTCCAAACAAGGTCACATTCTGAGGTACATGGGGTTAGGATATCTGCATATCTTTTTGGGAGGCACACTTCAGCCCAAAACAGGATGTAAGAGAAAACCCTGCCTGTGAGGGAATGAAGCAGTCTGGGTAAAAGATGACAGCCTAGCAAAGGTGTGGTCCCAAGTCAGCAGAGCCTTGGCCTGGTCTGTGCTGGGGAGGGGACATGGGACCACGGGACCATGGGACCACACCGGAGCCTTGTGCTCCTTCAGGCAGGGAGGCAGCCTTGGGTCTTCCCACATCGGTGGGTCATTGGCTGGGACCACCCTGGGGAATCTGATTCTCAGCAGGGGAGCCATGGGTCTACCGAAAGTTCCTAGACTACAGAACAGTGGTTCTGAGCCAGGGACTCCTTGCCTCGGGACATTTGGCAGTGCTGGGAGACTTGGGCTTGGTGGAAGGGAGGGGCTCCTGGCATCCAGTTGGGGGGAGACCAGGGGTGCTGCTGAACGTCCTGCAGGGCCCAGGACACCCCACCGCGGAGACGGAGCAGTGTGGAGTGAGAGATCCTGCTGTGGAAGAGGCGGAGAACAGAGGCTGGGGGACAGCGGCAGGGGCTGCCATGCCAGGCAGGGTGAGAGTGTGACCAGCCCCTGCAGGGTGAGAGGAGTTTCCGGGAGAGGCAGCTGCTAGGGTGTGAGGGGCAGACACCCAGGGAACTGCTTTGCTTTTCCTTCTGTGTGTGGAGGAGATACTGGTTCTGAACATCAAGCAAATCAGGCCCTCACTGGAGACACAGTCCTTGCTCAATGCCGAGGCCTGCTGGAGGCCGAGGTCTGCCTTCCCCAGGGCACTTGTGGGTGGGTCGGGTGGGAGAGCTGCAGTTGTGTGGCTGGGTGGGAGCCAGACCTCTGCCGCTGTTCATCCCCAGCCTGATCCGTGGTGTGCAGGCTCAGAGCAACTCTTACTGTTGGTTCTGCATCTTCTGCCTCGGAGAGCCTGTGGGGATGGATGGTGGGTAGGGCCACGGGCAGGCATCCTCTGGCTCGAGGCAGAACATCCCAACTGTTTTGTGCTGTTGAATAGTGTGTCTTTGATCTTGGCATTCAGGAAATTAGCAGCTGATGGAGCTTCTACAGAGGTTGTGGTCTTGTTGATAAGGTTTGACTAGAAGATAATGAAAATGAGGACAGAAATTTGGAGCATGTGGGGTGACCGAATAGGGAAGGGGTTACTCTGGCTGCTCAGGAAAATTCTCATCCAAGTGGACTGACGTGAATTGATGCTGCGAGGCAAAATTCTGTGTAGACTCAACTGTTTTTTAAAAGAATCAATACTTGTGACAAACACAGAGTACATAAAATTTACCACTGTATCCATTTTTAAGCATACAGTTCGTTGGTATGAAGTACATTCACATTCTTAGCAACCATCACCACCATCCATGTCCTTGCAAAAATGAAACTCTGGTTAAAGAGAGTTCCCCATCCCCCCAGCCACTGCAGTCACCATTCTTTGTGTCTCCATATGTTTGACTGTTCTAAGTCCCTCACATAAGTGGACTCATTCAGTACTTATCTTCTTGTGACTGGGCTATTTCACTGAGCATAATGCGCTCAGGGTTCGTGTACGTTGTTGTGTGTGTCTGAATTCCCTTAGTTTTGAAGGTGGATTAGTGTTCCGTTAAGTATACATACTGCATTTTGCTTGTGCATTCATCCAGCTGTCGATGGACACTTGACTTGCTCCCACCTCTTGGTTATTGTAATAGGCTGCTATGAATGTGCTGTACAGGTATTTTCTTAATCTCCGTTTGAACCAGAACAGTATCCAGGATGAAGGCAGTTCATTTTCTCCCGAGGCTTCGGGAGGAAGGGCAAGGGCAGTTGGAGAGAGCTGATGCGCTGTGGACGTACCAGAGGCTCACAGAGCATGAGGAGGGACCAGCATTCTTGTTCCTGCTTGGCTGGAGTCATGGAACCTGGTGGGTCTTGGTTTGTTCCCATCCAGTGGAGACTTAATACAAATTATAAATATACCCAGTAAATGCACAATAAAAATATTGTTATCTATAGAAATTATGTATTTACTTAATGAATACTTGGTAGATGCTTTTCATGTTCTAGGGGCTGGGACTGCTGATCTAGCTCTCAGTGAGTGAATATGTCTACTGTGAACATAGCAGTTCCCCATGACTTACACGTGCTAACTCACTTATCCTCACAA